CCCCAAAACCCCAAAACCCCAAAACCCCAAAACCCCTCTGCATCAGAATTAGGTTGGATTGTTCTATTATCTGTTAAGTCCTACTTGTATTTACTAAAGTAACTGTGGTGGCTCTGGAGGATCTTCTTCCTAAGCTCCTTCTTTCTCTTATGAATGTCAGAGTAGAGCTTCTCCCTGTACTCCCTGATCGAAAACTTGTGGTTATCATCCATGGTAATATTAATTGTCTTCTTACACACCGGCTCATCATCATCGTTTTGGAATTGAGCAACATATGGATGCTTCAAAGCTTCCTCCGCTGATAAACGTTTTTCAGGATTGAACTGGAGAAGCTTATCCATTAAGTCAAGAGCATCCTCACTTGCAGTAGGAAAGATCTCAGCCAACGATTTAGCCTTTGATGGAGGAAGGGAGTCAAGCATAGTAGTGGCAAGACTACTTTGAATAGCCTCTATATCTTCAGAGCTCGGTCTGCCAGTTATTTCCATAATTCTATCCAACTGGTTCAAAGTTGATGTCCCAGGGAAAAACGGTTTCCCGAGTAAGAGCTCTGCTAAAATGCATCCGAGGGACCACATATCTACTCCTTTAGTGTATTTTGTTGATCCTAACAATATTTCTGGAGCTCTATACCATCTTGTTGCAACATAATCGGTCAGAAGCGGTTGGGATTCTCCCTCGGTAGAAGCGATTGATCTTGCAAGACCGAAATCAGCTACTTTTATATGACATTCAGCATTAAGCAAAATATTTGACGGCTTCAAATCTCTATGAAGGACATCTGCTGAATGCATGTACTTAAGGCACTTGAGAGTCTGATAAATAATATATTGCTTATGGATCTCTTCCAGAATACTTGCACGAATAACAGCGTGGAGGTCTGTTTCCATATAATCAAAGACGAGGTAAATATCACGATCGTTTTCGGCTCTAATAACGTTCAGCAGCCTAATTATATTCTCATGCCCACTGAGTTCTTGGAGGAAGAGAATCTCTCTGAAGGTTCTTTGTGCATCAGTCGCGTTCTGGAAGGCATCAAAGTTCTTCTTTAGGGCTACAATCTCTCTAGTCTTCCTATCAATAGCCTTCCAGACGATACCATATGCTCCCTTCCCTAGTTTCTGCAAGATTTCATACTTTTTAAGCACATGGGCTTCGATCTCTTCGCTCATAATATTAATTTAAATTCTAAAATCTCTTCTATTATTTATTCTAAAAACGGGGTTTTGGGGTTTTGGGGTTTTGGGGTTTTGGGGTTTTGGGG